TCGTTCAGTAATATTACAAGTTTGCTACCTTATACTTTAATCTGTTTTTTCTTGCGAAGCATGAAATTGGCGGTTTACCTTAACAAATTTTGAGGAATGGGATAGACCTGATTTGGAGGGCCTTTTCAAATACTCAATCGTCACTTTTGTTTGGAAGTGATACCAGCTAACCATAAAATGGTTCGACATCAAGTCTTTACTGACTATGAGCCAGGCCGAATCCGACATTTCGATTCCTTCACTTTTCTTCTTCACTCTTCCGTTTTACTCGTGTTTACTGAAGCACAAAATGCCATTGAGTGGTGACAGCAATCATCACTTGGAGGAATGTCTATGGGAGCAAATGGGAAAGATGAGACAGTAAGACGTAAGACAGAAAGACGTTGAGGCAGTATCACCATCTCTCCAGTAATATAACCCCCTGTCCCCTAAGGGGCAGGTTTTGCATTGTCATAGGTGTTAGTGAAGGAGAAGTTCTTGCTGCTCGCCCTAAAGAAATTAGATTTATCCGCGGTAGCCTGAACATTGGCTAGTCAAGAATTCTTACTGAAAAATGTTGTCGCTAATATAACTAACTGTGGATGCCCTAAAAAGTACCAGCAGCAAAGTAGGCCTTAGAGGACGTCATGAAGCACCATTGTCTGACGATTTTATTGACGAAATCACATTTTAGGTCGCGTAGTTTGTCAAATGACTTACAACAAATTTTATGGAGATGCTGCTTCCACCTTAGGATGTAGACATCCACGAAGCGAATCTGTTAAATTCAAATAGCTCTGAAGGCTACTAAGTTTCAAGTTCGGAGGAGAGTAGTAGGGAGCAGAATAATGCGTGTCGGTACTCTGGTGCACGTCATCTCCGCTCTTTGGTGAAGGAATATAAACGACCTTGATTTGCAAAAGTCATTGCAAAGGAACACCGACACAGAAGGTGCAAGATGTTCTTCTTCATAATTAATGAAGGAGTGCAGATTGCAGAGGGGTCACTAAAGTAACTAACTGTGGAGACATTAGAAAGTACTAGCAGCAAAGTAGACCTCGGAGGACGATATGGAACAAGCATCTCGAGGTTGCTAGAAGAGTCACATACTCGATACATGAGGATAATGTCGAGAAGAAGTGTAAATTTTGAACAATCAATGTAGTATTGTTCCAGCAGATGCTCTTCTGCTCCTCTCCACTAGTTCAGTACGGTATGCAGGGCATTTTGCACAATTAATCTTAAAGGTCAATTCAGCCTCTGAACAATCTTACTCACATGCCGTACAGGAATAAATTCGGGTTATTTTCAGATTTACCTTCGATTCATTAAAAGATGCAAAGTCCCCCAGGGTGGATTTCGGCTTTACAGCTGCACCAATGGAAAAATTATCAAATGTAGAAGGAAGATGTAGAAGCACCAATTTATCAAGGAAACGATATTGCTGATGCAACTTCGGTATTCCATATTTAAACATTTGCCCTCATCCCTGAAGCAAGGTGCATTGCTGCTTTGACACATGAAGGCTTGTCAAATGGTCAAGGGCGTGCATGCTCCCTCTTTCTTTCAATGCCTCCACAACCTGTCATAAGTGTGACTGCTGCTTTGATCCGCGATAACAACAGTTTCCAACATTTTTAGATAGGCAAATATTGCAAGTCCATCTTCTGATTTAGTGCTCAAGGGAATAAGAAAAGCATTCTAGGCTTCCCCAAAACTAATCTTGCGTTCTTGCATATATTCGACGTACTTCTGCATCACTGATTTGAAACAGACTGACTTTGAGGATGTAAGAATGCAATGCGTGGTTGTCACTTTTGTGCTGGAACGGCTGCATGTCATTTGTTGGTGGCCGGCGTTCCTGTCACTCCTACGGCCACCAAAAGCAGACGACATTGAATCTCTCTCATCGTAGGCACGTCCGTCCTGAGATGTTTAGGAGCCAGTTACGCACGGAACTTTATGTGAGAGAAGAGTTTTATTTGACCTGTCTGCAACTATCTGGTAAAACAGTGCAAGTGTGAAGCCTACGTGAAGGGGCATTAAGCCATAGCACCAAACGAGTGTGTAAAACCCGGAGTTGAAGGAGCCTGCCCAGTTAAGCATACAGTCAAACGGATACAGTTAAAAACGGAATTAAATTAGGTCACTAGACAAGTACAGAAGCAAAGGAGTCTTCATTGCTTGAAAGTGTATCGTCTACGTAGAGAAAGGCTAGCTGACCACTGCCCGGCTCTTAGGCCATTCCTCTCATCGGAGTTACAAAGGTAGAGCATCAAGTGCCCACAAAATCAAAGTGAAGAGTTAAACATCAAGTACAAGCATTACACGGTCCCCGTCCCTTTGAACACATTCCTGTTACCCCTCCCTGTTTACCCTTAGCGTAGTCCACCACAACGTGATCGGTTCGACAAGGAATCGCGTCCATAAACCAAATACGAAGGTCAACGAATTAACGTGTACATGAGAAAATACTTGACCACATCGTCACCTACCTCTCCCAGCAGTTCCATTGGACGTGGAGCATTGCCATCTTTTAGAAATGTGTTGTGGAAGAGGGAATGTGCTGTCCACCTCGGCTTTGCATCGCTTGGATTAGAAACATTTGCCCAAATGCTAGATCATTTTGTAGAGGACGAGGTCTAAAATGATTTTGATCACATCCTTTGTTTGCCATGGTGACTATATTGCTTCAACTGCCATAAATCTTTCTACAATTTCTAATAAACCGTAACAAACGATGCGAATCTGACAAATTGTATTTCTTACTTATCATGTCTCTGTTGAGCGAAGCACTTTTGCTCAAAAGTAACACTGAGGAGGAACTGTTTTATCGTCTCACCACTATGAGCAGCGAAATTGGCTGGCAGTTCTATATTATTGTCTGTCTTACCCCCTAATAGAACGGCTGGGGGAACTTGGGATTTGAGTGATTTGCACAAGCCACTTGTCTATACAAGCACTTGCTATGTAAATCGCAGAAAGTTAAACTGTATACGTAGAACAGACACGTTGTATTCAAGAGACGTCCAAAAATTACTGTTCAAAACAGAGGGTTAGCAGCGGATCACAACCAGGTGAAACTTACTGACAGACCGACTCACCACAACAGCGATTTATGGCATGTGTACAGTCGGTTGTAAGCAGGCTGATCCTATAAGCGTACCAATCGTTGTGCTCCGATAGCCCATCATTTGTAGGTCAGGAAGAATGCAATTTTTGAATGTTACGGTTTTAAAATTGAAGTCAACGTGGAGGTGAGCATAGCAAATATTTAGTTATCTTGCCATTACTTTTAGTTACGGTAGCCTCTCTCATTCTTCTGTCAAGTGAGCAACATAACATCTGCCGTTACACCATTTCCTTAAAAGGCTACTACAGGCATCGCTATTACTATTCTACTTGGCGTTTGCGGCTGTCACCTTTGTTTGTTTTCAGGTGAATATCATCAAATTTCAAAGCTGCCAACGCAAGGGTCTATTCACTCAAGAAATAATAAAAATGAGGGTTCTTCCATGGTTTCCTCCTCCACTGGTCACATGCTCATTTCCCTACTTGTTGGAATCCTGCATATATAGTCCTCACATTCGTCAACTCTCCTGACATCCATCAATCTTCACAATAACCTCAGAAGTGTTTATTGTAAAGGAAAGCAGAGCTGTTTCCAAAGAAATCTGTCAGCCAGCAAACAACATCCCGTCAGAAGGAGAGACTGGGCTTTGAGTGGCCGTCAGATAAAAAATGACTCCATTTGGTAGATGACAGTCAGAATGGGGTCACTTCTAAT